TTTATTTTGAGAGAGAAAGCATGAGCAGAGTAGGAGCAGAGAGAGAGGGAGAAAGAATCCCAAGCAGCCTCCACATTCGGCATGAAGCCTGACATAAGGTTGAATCTCACGAGCATGAGATCACGACCTGAGCTGAAATCAGCAGACACTTAACGGACTGAGCCACCCGGGCGTCCCTCGCCTCTGGGCTCCTTGAGGACAGGAACCGGTGTCTCTCATTCACCATTGTGTCCTTAGTGTGCATGAGTGTGCAGATGCAGAGGTTCAGAGACCCTGGCTAGGGGGCTGGCACACGCCCACCTGCCCCGGCCTGGCCCTGGCTGGGATGGGCGAGCCCTCACCTCTCTCGGCCGTTCCAGCTCCGTCTGCAGCACCTGCTTGGCCAGCTCGGTCTCGATGAGCCGCTGCCGAAGCTCCTCGTTCTCCTCCTCCAGCCGCGCCCGTTTCTTCTCCACTGTCTCAAGCTCCTTATGCAGCCGCACAGAGATGTCCTTAGAGACCTGAACAAAGGTGGGTGATGAGCAGGAACCGCGTGGCCTTGGCTGCAGAGCAACCCCCCAGCAGACAGGGTCTCTCATCATCCCTACTTAGCAGATGAGGAAACTGGGGCACAGAGAAGATACAGGGGTCACGGAACCAGGAAACAGCAGGAGCAAAACTCAAACCCAGGCACCCTGAGTTCCTGATGTCTATATCACAGTTCAGTCCCCAGAAAGCTGTAAAGGCCCTGCCTGTTCTTAGCAAGGTCTTTTCATTTACCTGAGGCATTCGGTGCTTCGAATTCTCACAAGAGCCTGTGGCAGGGCCAGAAGCTCATTTTATTTTTGTATTTATTTTTTAACATTTATTTATTTATTTTTGAGAGACAGAGAGAGTGCGAGTGGGGCAAAGGCAGGGAGACAGATGGAGACAGAGAATCCGAGCCAGGCTCCAGGCTCCGAGCTGTCAGCACACAAAGCTTGATGCCGAGACTCAGGCCTGAGATCACGACCAACTGTGAGATCAATTGAGCCAAGTCAGATGCTTAACTGATTGAGCCACCCAGGTGCCCTGGCCAGAAGCTCATTTTAAAGGGAGGGAAGTGAGGATGCCAGGGTGGCTGCCTGGGTTAAGCGTCTGACGGCCTCAGGCTCGGGTCTACCGTGATCCCTCACAGTTGTCTGTGCCCGCATCGCTTTCCCAGCTCAGAAGGACAGAGCCTGGAGCCTGCTTTGGATTCTGTGTCTCCCTCCCTCTCTCTACCCCTCCCCCACTCATGCTCTGTCTCTGTCTCAAAAATAAATAAACATTAAAAAAATTTTTTTTTAAAAATAAAGGGAGGGAAGTGAGCGTAAGTGGAAACTAGAGCAAGATGGGTGGCCCCAGAGCCATCTGAATCCCATCTCTGCCAGTGACCAGCACGTGATCCTGGCCAAATCATTTCTCCACTCTGTGCCTCAGTCTCCTTAACTACAAAATGGGTGCAATAATAGCAGCAACCTCGTGGGCCCAACAGGAGGGCTGAATCAGCTATTGCACAAGAAAGCTCGGCCCTGGGCCAGCACAGTGAGTGCTGGGTGAGTGGTGAAGCCATACATGACCTGCCAGAGGTCATAGTGTGACCCTGACCCTGGTTTCCAATTGTCTGGGCTACAGAACGTGCTGGAAATGACAAAGGGTGGGCATATGTCCAAGTCATCCCTACAGAAGGGAGCTAACAGAGCTGCAAACTCTAATCCTAGTGACAGGGCTCTGCAGCAAAAGCACCCCATTTCCTGGAGGACACCCTGGGGTCAAAGGCCAGGAAAGGGAGCCTCTGGGGATGAGGAAGTCCCTTTTGCGCTGGCAAATCACAACTACTCTGAAGTGGTCCAGGCACTGCCCTTCGTTGAATACCTACTGTGTGCCAGATTCATTCCTCTTCACTCCATTGCTGTCTGAGGCTCAGAGCATAAGTGACTCGGCTCAGGGTCATGTAGACCAAGTGTGAGCTGAGCTGGGGGGGAGCCTCTGGGATTTGCCTGAGAGGCCAGCATGGCCAGGGCTCTGAGAGTGGTTCCAGGGCTTTGCCAGCAAGAGGTATGTGAAGGGCAGGCAGCCCAATGCCCCATGCCTGCCAGGCTCGGAAACAACTATGGCACCTCCTCCGTGCCGGAAGGGAAGAGGGCCCTCCCTGGCTCTGCCCTCTGCCTGGGCCCAGGCCCAGCTCGGCATGGACCCTTTGGCAGCGTGAGAGGCAGGCCAGGAAAAACAACGGCCAGAGAGGAAACTCAGCACTGCCTTCCCCTCCCTCTGGTGCCCACTGCCTCTCCCTGCCCCTGAAGATCCCCAGGGACAGCCGGAAGCTGGTCCCCAGCCTCCCTAGGCCACCAAACTTTCCTTGTCCGCAAAGTGGGATGAGCAACCCCTCAATACCAGAACAAGAACTTTGCAGGTAGGGGAAAACTAGATCGAGTCTGATTCCAGCACTCTGTGTGTGTGTGACCCACAGCCAGTTTATTTATACATTTGAAGTCTCATTGTGGTCATTGGTAAATGGGGTTGATACAGCCTACTCCCAAAGGCTGCTGTACGGAATAAATGACATAGTCCTTGGGCTGGTGGCTAGAACATCAAGAAATATAATTTTTAAAGCATTGTCAGGATCACTGCTTCACCTCTGTGCGCTGATTTTATCGGATTTTTTGGCCCAGTACCCCACAATCTCCCTCTTGTGTTTTGTGTCAGGGTTTTTACTGGTGTTCAACCCCAGGCTCTTGGCTATGGTCCCCGGTTTGGGGCTATTAGGTCACCCAGAAAGCCCCTGTCCTGATCAATACTCCATTCATTCATTCATTCATTCACTCATTCATTCATTCATCCATTCATTCATGCTGCTTAGGCCCCAGGGGCAGGAGTGGTGGGGCACAGAGATCAAGGCCCCAGACCATGCCTGGGCTCCTTCACATCTCCGTGTCCCGGCAGCAGTGCGGGGTCTGGTACACGCTAGTGCCAAATAAACACTTGTTGGGGAACAAACAAACCCCCCAAGTTTCCAAAAAGCGAAAAGGGAGATGAAGGAACAGATGACTGAAATATGGGGAGCTGCACCTACTGCTCCCCTCAACCGCCCACCCCACCCACTGTCCAGGGAGGGCTGCGTCCCTGACTGGTGTGAGGGCTCAGCGGCTGGAGGCTTCTCTCCTACTTATGCTCCCACTTGGAGCCAGCTCCTCTCCATCCCTGCCATGGCCTCAACCTGGGAGGCAACACTCCCCACCAAGAAGACATGATCCGTGTGGATTCCGAGATCCTCTTGGGTTTATAAATGACTCTATTGATTTCATCCCTTCCATGAGTCCCCAGGCTCCTTCTGCTCCATTCGCCACATGATCTCCTTCCCCATTTGGCCCCCGCCCCCAAGAGTTGCAATGTCAAGAAAGCCCAACCCCAGGCAGCTTACAGAATTCCAGCGTGAACAAAAGAGCCCTTAATTGCAGATCCCACAGAACCCTGGGTCCCCCGTGGAAGCCCATGGGAGCAAAGAGCATGCATGTGGCCTGGAGGGCAGGAGTCTGGTTGCCTCAGCCTGTCCTTTCCTGTCTCTGAGCCTCAGTGGTCCTGGGCGCCCTTGCCTCTCACAGGTGATTTATAGAATCAGCTGTCACTTCCTGACACCATGTGCCTTTCAGGGAAGGGCTTTATTATCCCCATTGTGAGGTTCGGAAAGGACAGGTCACTTGCCCAAGGTCACACAGCTAGAAAGCTACAGAACCAAGGTTTGAAATCAGGTGGGTCAACTCTAGAGTCCTGCTCTCAACCTGAACCTGCTTTTGGCCCAAAGCTTGAAGACATGTTAATATCAGCACTAAAAGTATTAACAACAAGCCCAGCAGCGGGCTCACCATGTCAGATGCTCACAGGGCCCCCCCCGCCCCCCGCTTGTCTCATTTCATCCTCTTATGATCCTCCCAACTACTCCCAGGGTAGGGGGGCTGAGATACCACGGGAGGTGAAGCAGCTGCAGCTTCCGGACACCAGGGCAAATCCCCAAAGCGCAAACAATGCGCTCAGCCATGAGGTCACTGTTTACAGCACTGAGGCCTGGCTCCTGCCAAATGCAACCAGCAGCCATCAGACCACAGGCCCCCCTGCTCATGGGCAGACCTCTCAGCTCATGGGCCTCTGGTTTCAGGGTGTTCCTGTCCCTGTCACTCTGAATCCTCAGGGAGGGGGAATGGGGCCTGGGGTCTGGGACCCTGCATTGTGAACAGACTCTCGGGGATTCTTATCCACAGGCTGAGATTCTGGCCTTCCCTTCCCTGCCCTTGTCCCCAGCCACTTCACCTCCCAGTGCCTTATAAGTTCTTCTCCTGAACAATAACACCACAACCAACATTTGCTCATCTGCTAGGGGAGCACCCGGAACCAGAGTCTGTGGTCAGCACTCTCTTTACTTGAGCTATTTCATTTTATCCTCACAAAAATTTCTATAGGTGGAAACTAGTTTTATCTTCCTTTTCCACATGGGGAAACTGAGGCTCAGAGATGTGAAGGAGCTCTCCAAAGGTTACACACCAAGCAAGTGGTAGAGCAGGTCTTTGAACAACTACCACGCTGCCCTCCACATGCTGAGCCATGTTCCAGCTGAGGTTCAGTGGGTCCTGCAGGCTGGGAGGACCACAGACAGAGAGCCCAGGGGAGGGGGATACCAAGGCCTGAGGTTTTATTCATGGTGCGCTTTCACCAAAAACCTATCTGCTCGATAAAACCACTGGAACTGCAAAAGCCCTGTAGATTTGGCTCCTCTAAGCCCCTTATTTAACAGAAGGGGAAACTGAGGTCCCAAGAAGTGGCCCCATGCCAGTCGGGGCATGGGCCAAGGAGCTGACAGAGCTAGTCAGAAGTCAGAGAGTCCGGAGAGATACCCAGCTCTGGGGTTGCGGGCGGGGGAAGGGTCCCTACTTGGGCCCATCAGGCCCTCCCAGGAGATAGCAAAGAAGTCACAATTCTGAGAACCCCCCAAATGCCGGAGAACAACCCCAGCACATGGGGCAGAGTGTGGTGGCCAGAGGCACCCAGCCCAGGCCTGCAGGGATGAGCTCAGTGCTCCAGCTGCAGCGGCGGGGAGAAGAGGGAGGAAGGGGGGCAAGTTGGATGCTGATTGGCTAGTTCAAATCCCAACAGAAGGGGTGGCTTCCCCGAGCCCAGAGCTCAGAGATCCCCCCTCCCACACGCACACCAGCTGCTCTCGGCTCCTCCCAGGGAGGCACTGGCCACCCAGTCAGGGCCTCCTCCCTCCCTCATCCCTCCCTCTAAGGCTGACTCTCTGGTGTACCGGCCCCAAATACCCAATCACCTAGGCCCAAATCTACTTCATCTGAGCTTCCCCAGCTGTTCCTCATCCCACACTCCCTCAACCCAGTGCCTGGAGTTTGAATATTTGTGCAACCCTTTGTCCCGGGGGCTGCCCTGTCAGGTAGCTTTGGCCGGGGAGACAACCTTTCTGAGCTCAGTTTCCACATCTGCACAACACACCTATAACCCCACTGTGCATGTGCAAAGACAGTCTGCAATGGGAGCCTGCCTGCGCTGGTTGGCTGGCTGGCACTCACTGTTTATCTCCCCTGGCCACTACAGACAGAGGTCTCTCCCTCCAGCATTCCTCCTCTCCCCTCCTGGTTCAAGCCCACTTCTCCCACAGGCCTCAGTTCAGAAGTCACCCCTGCAGGAAGAGCCCCTTGGGCCCCCAGGCGGCACCAGGTGCCCCCACCCCCAACCGCTACATTCCCCTGAGTTCTGAGAGCGAGAGACTGGGCCTGGGTCCCCACTAAGTTCTCAGCCCCCAGACCAGGGCCCACACACACAGACAGGGTGGACTGCTCTTCTGGAGGCCCCTCTTGCCAGCCTCCAGCCCAATCCTCTCCTGCTTCACAAGGCAGGGAGGCAGGGAGTGGGGCAGTCAGGCACGGGAGGCTGATAAGCCTGCACTGGACCAATGACACAGAGTGTCAATGTGACCTTGAACAGGTGCTTCCTTTCTCTGAGACTGACTTTGCTCATCCAGAAAATGCGAATAATAATAGCTAACATTTTTGAGTGCTTACAGTGACATTTTACCTATATGATCTCTTCTAACCCTCATAGAACCCTGTGAAGCAGGGGCTGCTGTTATACCCATTTTCCAGATGAGGAAACTGAAACTTAGGTGACTTGCTCAAAATCACAAAATTAGGGCATACTGGAGTCAAGGTTTAAACAAGTCCTATCCAACTCCAGGCCTTTGCTACTCATTAGCACAATAAAGAAACCTCCAGGGACAGTGCAGGGACAGGGCAGGGACGACTCCAAGCCCAGGACCAGGTGTGGGAATGGCTCCTGTTAATAGGATTCATATTTATGATATCACGTTGGGACACTCCTGGGAAATGGGCTGTCGGTTCACCAGGGATCCCCACTTTGCAGATGAGCAAGCTGAGGCCCAGAAAAGTGGTGTAACTTGCTCAAGCACACACAAGGAGCGAACTGTGGGCTGACCTGGGCTCCACTTGGGCTTGTGCTCCCAACTCCAAGAGGGGTACCTATGAGGGTGGGGGGAGGCCCAGAGCTCACCTTGACGTCCTGCTCCAGCCCGCGGATGAGCTCGCCATCCACCTGGCCTGTCTGAGCGGCACGGAGGCTGCGGCGCTCAGCCTTGCGCAGCCGGTACTGCAGGATGCGGCAGGTCTTGCTGGCCTGGTCCAGCTGCTGCCGGAGCTCCTGCAACTGGTACACATCCTCCTCCATGTAGACATCCCGCATCTCCAGCATCTCTGCGCGCAGCTCCTCGATCTCATCCTGCAGTGGGGGGAGAGGCGGTCGGGTCACGGGGCTCGTGGCAGTGGCCTGTGTGTCTGAAGGCAGGCCACACCCAATGCTCTCCTAGGTGCCTTGGGGGCCTGGGTGTGGTAGGCTGAATAATGGCCCCTCCAAAGATGCCCATGCCCTAATTCAAGGGACTCTGCAAACGAGATTAAGGATTTCGAGATTGGGAGATTTTCCTATATTATATGTGGGTGGACCAATGAAATCATAAAAGTCTTTATGAGAGGGAGGCAAGGGGATCAAAGTGGGAGAAGGTGACATGACAACAGAAACAGAGGTTAGAGGGACGTGCTCTGAAGATGGAGGAAGGGCCTCGAACAGGCTGCCTCTAGAAGCTGGACAAGGGAATGGATCCTCACCCAGAGCCCTGCCATGTGGCCTTGCCAAGGTAGCCCTGCCAAAGCCTTGATTTTCAGACTTCTAACCTCCAGAACTGTGAGATAATAATCTGGGATTGTTGAGTGCCACTCAATTTGTGGTAATTTGCTGTAGCAGAATAGGAGCCTACCACACTGGGGAAGCAGGACAGACTCATTCAACGAGCATTTGTGAGCACCAACCACGTGCCAGGCCCCCCGTGCCAAGCGTGGGGGTGGGAAGGGACAGTACTGACCAAGACTAATGTGCCCCCTTCTGTGTCTTCTGCATGGAGCCCCAAGTCTCACTGGGGAGACACATGATAAACCAACAAATACAAAAAATCCAAATAAATGGCAAGAAACAAAAAAACCCCCACCTGGGTAATATGCTAGAGTAATGGGGAAAGGCTGTGTCCAAGGACGTGATCGGGGTAGCCATCTCCAAAGGGACATTTGACCTGAGGGAAGAAGGAACGGCCATGCAGAGAGACAGCCAGGGAGAGAGGACTCTAGGCAGAGGGTCCAGAGTATGCAAAGGCTCAGAGGCAGGATAGAGCTCAATGGGTCAGAATACAGCAAGGTGGCCAGGGTAGCTAGAGGAGGGATAAGCTGAGGCTGGGGAAACAGACAGGGGTCGGCCATCTAGGGCCCTGAAGGGCCAAACAGAGTTTGGGTTTTAAATGGAGGGTGTTGGGGGATGACCTCACTTCCCCGGGGCAGCTCCTGACCACCTCTGTCACCAGCTCCCAGATGTCCCTCACTTCCCCTTTGTCACCATGAGCACATCTGCAATTCTTTAATAGTTTGTCTCCCAGACATACTGTGAGTCTCTGAGGGGATACCCCACGTCTACCTCGCTCACCGCAATATCCCCTACACCCAGCACGGGCCTAGCATCCCACAGGCTCCCAACAAATATTAACTGAATGAGTAAATGCATGTCCGGTTAGGTAAACAACCCCCAAAATGACATAGTAACATGAAACAATCATTAGAGTGTAAGGGGATGAGTGAGGGAACCCAGCAGAAGAAATGGATTATTATTATGTCTAATAACAAATGTGGAAACTGAGTCACAAATGGAAATAACACCTACTCTTAGGATGATTGAATGAATTAAAAAAGATTGTACACTAAAAAGGGAAACTGAGTCACGGGGGAGGAATGATCCGCCAAAGGCATCCCTGAAAAAGCACCTAAGGACGGTACTGATGGGAGCAGGGGAGTGGGTCCAAGAAGCAAAAAAACAACTCTTCGGGCCCTGGAGATGGACACAATCTGGAGAGTGTGCTCACCAGCCCTTGAGCCTTTCTTTCCCCGCAGAAAATGTGTGGCTCCCTACGAGGGCATGGCCTGGGGCTGTCCAGTGCCCCCCTGAGACTGGGTGGGTTGGTTTAATTCAGGAGCAGGGTCAGGAAGAAGCCAGTTCTTAGTGTGAAAGCTCATCCACCAGACTCCTGTGGACTATTTCTCAAATGGTCCTGAACTCAGGAGAGGAAGACGGAGGGAACAGGTATCTGCTTCTCCCAACTCCGTAAGATACTGTCCTCTTCCCACCATCAACCAAAGGGCTTAATCCCCACTTGCCGCCAAGGCCTCTGCCCCAGGGATGGCTTCAGCAGCAACCCCCAAAGTGGATGATTCTGCCTACACCAGCTGTAGGAGCGGTCACCTCACCAGGACCCCAGCTCCACCTCCGTCCCAATACACACACAGACTCACGGCCACCATGCCAAGTGGACAGAACTAAAAGTGGAAAAAGAGGAAGTGGGACAGTCAATGATCACACCAGTCAAAAGAAATGAGGAAGTGAGGGGTCCACACGCCACTTCAGCCAGTGGATTAAGGAAGCATAAGGGAAACAGCACTCAGGAAGTGCAGGTCAGTCAGCTAAATCCAAGCTAAACCAGCCTCCAGATGAGCCTGTGTTCAAGCCCCCACCATGCTATTTGCTAGCATCTCACTTCTTCTCACTGCAGTCACACTGACAGGGCCTGGTGATCGGGAGGATATGGAGGTTTGAGCGGACCTGAAGCTCAGGATCAACCAAGGAGAAGTGCAGGGAACATACAAGCTCATTAATGTTGGGCTACATAAACAGATGTAGGGCGTTTAAGTCATAGGAGGTGACATCCCTCAACACGGGACTACATCCAGGGCGCTAGAGTCATTTGGGGGGACCGTTTATTTTTTTTAACTTTTAAATAACCGATTTTTCTATTTATAAAAGTAAACAGTGATCCTAGAGACAGTTTTGAAGATACAAAAACTGTACATCACTCATAATTCCTCCACCTGGTCCTAAGTCACAGTGGCTCTCAAGGTGTGGTCCCCGGACCAGCAGCATATAACCATCACTGGGGAACTTGTCAGAAATTCTCAAACCTCAACGGAGACCTAATGAATCAGAAACTTGGGGGTGGGCTCACCAAGTGACTCTAATGCAGGGGGTTTCCTTCCAGTCTTTTTCCTAAAAGGGCCAGAGCCATCTGTGGCAGCACCACAAGACCAGGGCCTGACACAGAGCAGGGACTCAATAAGCATCTATTGAAAACATGAGTGAATGAATGATTTCTCACATGAGCAGCTGTCTCTCCAGGGCCTGCCCTTCACCACAGTCAGTTTCTGGAAACGCAGGATGTTGCGTTCATGCCAGCTCCATCTCTCCACGGGGCTAAGGGGGGCCCAGGCGCTCGGGGGCTCGTCCCAGCTGCAGGCAGAATGCGGGTCAGCCCCTCCTGGCACGGCCCGTGGAAGAGAGCGGGTCCACAAAGGCCGGCTTGTGGCCCGCACGGGCCGGGTCTGCTGGGATGCAGGCAGCAGAAGCTGGTGAATGCAGGACTCGGGCAGGGGCTGAGCTTTTGGGCCTGAGGTGGGGCCAGGGAAAGGGCCTGCTAGGCCATAGGGAGGGGAGCTGGGAGGGCAGGACCTTGCTTCACTCCAGAAGTTCTTAGACCCCACTGAGCTACCGAATCCTCCAGGGCTGCTCAGTCCAACAGTCCCAGCCTCTGGCCCTACAAAGCCCTGCAATGACAGTCTGAACCAACTGACAGAGCTGGGGGCTAGGGAGGGGAGCTCAGCCTTCCCAACTCCCTCACAGACAGTTCAGGGGCCTTCCTGCTCCTCTCCTCCCTCCCAGACCCCCATCCATGTGGAAGCAGGAGGAAGGGATCAAACCCCAGCAAGATTGTTGGAGAACCCCCCCCCCCGCAACAATGGTGGGGGAACCCCAAACCTCATCCTCCCCTGCAGATAGGAAAAGGCCAGCAGTGCCCACCTCAGAAACTGGGGGCCCCGATTCTCTACCCCACAGTCAGAAAGGCCAGCCTAAAGAAGCCGGGGAAAGGTGCTCAGACCTGGCATGGCCTGCCAGGTCAATGCCATCCATCCCCTGTGGCCACTCCTTCAGGCTGACTTCTCTTCCCCTTGAAGCTCAGCCTGATTATTTAGGACTGGGAAAGGGGGTGGGGTAGGACAGGAATAGAGAATAGGAACGGGGTACCCTGCCTACTGCCAGAGTAGTCTTTATAGAAAATGTTTATTTTGCTCTAACTACAGTGGAAATTCCTGTTTATTGGAGATAACTTGGAAAAAAAGCTGGTCACTTTCTGTCTCCTCCACTATTTCCCACTGGCTTCTCTGCATTAGGTCCAAGCCCCTTAACCTGGAACCGGAGCTGCCCCTGGTCTCCTCCCTATTTCTGTCTTGCCCCCCACCCCTGCATCCTCCACCCCCGACGTCCCGCTATGCCAGGACTAGAAAATAGCTACCATCTCGGGGCACATGGCTGGCTCAGTCAGTAGAACATATGACTTGATCGCAACGTTGTAAGTTCGAGCTTCATGTTGGGGATAGAGATTACTTAAAAATAAAATCTTAAAAAAAAAAGAAAGAAAGAAAAAGAAAGAAAGCTACCATCAATGGGGAAGCTCATGAATGACCAGGCAATGCCTACATGTGCAATAATGTGATCCTCCTCCCAGCCCTGTGAGGTTGGTATTGAAGATGTTCCCTTTTTGCAGATGAGAAACTGAGGCTCAGAAATTTCCTAGAGCTGCTCAAGCAAGGGAATGGTGGAGCTGGAAACAGGACCTTACCCATGTTCTACCTCAAGGTTTGCTTGGGCTAGTCCCTCTGCTGGAATGGCCTTTGCCAGGCTAACTCCTAATTTATGTCATCCTTCCAGAACATTCTCTCCTTCTCCATCACCACCCCCCACTCCCCGCCCCCCCACCCCCGGCCAAACCACACACCCTGAACTCCATTCTTCTCTGTGCTAACAACTTCAGGTTGCATTTGCCTGCTTTCAACTCTATCTTCCCCAAGAGCTGGGGGGAGGGCAGGTGCCAGGTCCCACCCGTGTCTGGTCCCCAGCACGGCCCAGGACAGGCACACATCATTGTCTACCGGTAGATGTCTGACTAGAAGGATGAGTATGCTTCTGCCCTGCCCAGTCTCTCTCCACAGACCAGGGTGGGCAAGCTCTCCTGATCCCAGCCCCAAGTCAGCTGCAAAGAGTCGGGGAGAGCCTGGGCAGGGTCTCTCTACCCAGGGAACTCCTGCTTAGTCACTCACTCCCTGCCCACAAAGTGCATCTCTGTCCATCCCCCTACA